AAAATTTCATTTAATTAGGAAAATATAATTCTAAAACATTTAATATTCCTAATATTAAACATGGGATTAATAGATTTCAAATATATTATAATAGTATTACATAAATAATTTTTTCAAACGCTCAGAAGATTTATATTCATTTGAGAAATTTTTACGAATCTTTCAAAATCTTAAGAGATTCACTTGTCAAATATTATTAGAACTTATGTTTACACTATGAGAAACTCAATCTGTAAAACTTCAGAGTAGATGCTCTTAGATTTTTTTTGCAAAATTTATTCCTTGTATATATATATATATATATATATATATATATATGTATGTATTTTATATATTGTACTAAAAAGACACGCACACCAAAGACACTAGAGCAGGCACATTGAAGATATGAGGATGAGTTTTACCTTTTTAATAATGAAAAAAAAGGGAGAAAGTAAGAAAAAGAGGAAAGAAGTACATGAACGATTGTTGTTCAAGAAACATAAAAAGAATAGAGCAGGGACGCTTCTCTTTTCTTTTCTTTTTTTTTCCGTCTGAATTTGATTGATAAAACTGAAAACATACAAACATTGAGGGTGTTGAATGAATTTTATATGTCAGTTTTCTATTGGTCTAATAATTTTATATGTTTAATTATAATAATATTATATCTATAAGGTATTCTTGTGTGAGACATTGCATGCTATAAGGCTACATACATTGAGGGTGTTGAATGAATTTTTTCAACATTGAAAAAAAAAGGATCAAAACAATGGGGTTGTTGAATGCATATGTGGATTCAATATGTTGAAATTCAACAGTTGAATTAACAAAAAATGGGTCTCATTTTCCATATGTATTCTTATGTTATTGGATCATTTAGATTCTTGATTTTTTTTCTTATCCCAAATTTTCTACAACAATTATTTATAACAAAACGAATTTATAAATTTATTTTTCATATATCAAAATTCATAATTTTTCTGCTCTATAAATAGAGACTTGGTTCATTCAATTTGGATACGAAAAAAACTTCTATTTTCTACTATAATTTTCTATCATCTACCTTTAAACTCTTCATTATATTCTTAATTATTTCCTTATCGAAATGGATCCTAATAATAACCCTTCTAATATTTTTTATTTTGTTATTTGTAAAAAAAAATAATTAAAAATGACTTTTTGAATGATTTTAAATTAAACGAATTGAAAGCTTTTATCAATATAAAAAATATAGGATATGGTGTTGAATTTTATTAAACAAAACCATTGTAGAGTATAAAAAATAAGTGGATGTTGAATGATTATGTAGAAGAGAGAAAAGATGATGTGGAGTGTAAAAAGTGGAAATTAGGGTGTTGAATTTTTCACACCAATGTACATAGTCTAATATATGATGTTATCAATAGAAACATGCTTTTAAAAAGTGCAGTTTTGTTTCTAGCACTTGTTGTTTGTCCAGTAGACGACTCTGTCGGTCATGACATATCAAGATGAATACAACAATGGACCATGGTTGGAAGTGAGAAAAATCTACACAATAAATCCAAAAATGTTATGGCTTCATGATATAAAAGCTGAAAATAAGGATTGTGGTGGCTAAAGAAACCACAGCTTCCAAAAAAAAAAAAAAACGGCAGATCTCTCTTTTAGGAAATTTCAGAGATTCAATTTCAAGATTTTCCTCTCTTCTATATAATTTTCATTTGTTTGCTTAAATGTATGCTTTCTCATCATGAGATCTTATCTAAAAATTATATTTTTGTTATTTTTAAATATAATGCATCAAATTTGGTTAAAAGATGAATACATAATAAACTGTAGGTCTTAATTGTCCAGTAACATAAATTTATAAAAACCAAACTGAACTTTTGAACAAAAAACAAATTGAACTGAGTGAGCGAAAAAAAAATATTTTCAAATTTAACCCCAAGCAATTAGTTCGGTTTCATTACTTGATACACAAGAACTTCGTCAATTAGTAAATGATTGATGCAATGATGCATATCTTATTTTGTGTGAAAAAGATGTCAATCAAACTTTAAATTTCTAAAATAAAACAGATAGCGGGTTAGTTTAAACCTAGTTGTTGTTGCTAACAAAGAATAGTTACCACTTTTATAAAATCAATACATGCAAGCACAACAGTAAGATTACCCGACGTCAATAATTTGTAATACTTTTCAAACTACATATTTTAATCATGATATTGACGTAAGATTTTTTTTTTTTTTTAATTTGATTGAAGACGTACTATAAAGGTCCAAATTTGGAAGAAGTAAAAGACAAGGTATGGACAAAACCAAACTTTTGGGTCTGGTCCTTCAGATTCCTCATGTGCGGTTGTGAGCTTCTTATCTTCTTATTCTAACCAAAGGTTTTTTTTAAAAGTAGTCTACCAAAGTCTCTCAAGTTTATGCTCCAAAAAAAAAACATTTGAGCAATTCGAGTTTTATGCGGAAATATTGCGACCATAAACACTTGTTGGAGGCTAAGGTTTTAAATTTGCCAAAAAAAATTATTTGCTATCACTAGGTTAAAGCTTGGACGCTTGTTCATTTCTTATTTTTGTTCTGCCATATTTTTTTTTTTTTTGCTTAACCAAATTTTCTTATTGCTAACTGATAATTACGTCTTCTACAGGATTGGCAAGCTACCACTACTCGGAAAGATTTTTTGAAGTTAATTCGGTTTCTTATTTTTCAAGGCCTTTATTTTCTATTAGAAAACATTAGCAATTTGAGTGAGTATTTTAGAGGGTTATTTTGAATTATGGTGTAATCCTCTCGAAACATAAAGCCTCTTTGTTCTTCCATCGTAATTCGTAAATGAAGATGGTTTGGTGTCTACCATTTGTATGTTGAAAACGTAATTAATTGTGTTTCCATCTATTAACTACAATAATTTTCTTTACCCTTATAATTATATTCGATTATTTTTTATTATCATTTGAAAATCTATAAATATTAAAACAAAGCGAAAACATAGTTTTGTCTTCTCTACATTTTGGAATTTTCTTTAGTGGTTTTTAGAATTTACTCCCTCCGTTAATTGTTAGATTTATGCACATAGACTAGAAAAATATTTAATTTTACATATTTTATTAAATAAAACATTATCACCTAAAACCTAATCACATTTTAACCAATAAAAATAGAATAACATATAAAAATTAATAAATTTTATATTGAAATCATAAAAGAAAACTTATTTTAAAATAAAAATTCTATTTTATAATGACAACTAAATTAAAATAAAGAAATATTTGATAAATTATTAATTAAAATAGGTGTAAAAATATTAAACTAAAATAGGAGTATGTTTTTGTGGATACAAAAAGGAGTATGTCCTCTTTAACAATAAACAAAATATATGATGGTATAGGTACATAAACACATAAACCTAACAAACAAATTAATGATCAAAATCTTAAGATTCTTTTTTTGGTCGAAATGTTAAGCAAATCTTAAGATTCTTTCTGTATAAAAAGGAGAGACACTAAAATCTTACTCAAGTTAAATGGATTATAGTCTTCAGTCCCATATATAGTTATTCCGGTGATCAGTTGAAGTCTTTCCGAGTTATCTCCGTTTTGCAAATTACAGCTCATAATCCGGAGTAAGAAAGCAATATTTTTGTGATCAAAGAAAGCAATATATATAAGTAAAATTATATAACTAATGGAACGAACTAAAAAAATTGTTTCAAGAGAAGTCAAAAGAGTACAACTCTTTATCCTGATTTTTTATTCGTTTACAACCCGAATTTTCACGGTTGGTGGCGAGATTGGCTCCATACATCTACTACTTTTGAAATATCAAGGGAGTGATTGGTAAGAGCTGTGATTTCATTTTTTGGCTGTAAAAATATTGCTGTGATTTTTTTTGCTTTGGCTTTAGATTTTTAATTTTAAAAGCCTTTAAATATGAGCTGTAGGTATTTGTCTCTGCAGAGCAATTATAAAGACATGAATTTAAAGAAGTGCTGTAGAATTAAAAAAATGGCTGTGAGCTTTAGAAAAAATAAAAAATCATGATTGGTATAGATATAGTGCTGTAAGTATAATTATGGCTGTGGAGAGCATCTACAGCAATAGCCAATCACACCCCAAATTTCCAAAGTAGATTATTGGTGTTATGTGCTTCATAAAATCATGAATTATCTTAGAAATTATTTAAAATTCATTTAAATAAATTTTTTATTTCAAAATTCAATAACGTTTCTACGCCATAAAATTTAGAGTCTGTATTGAAAAATGTTTAGAAAAAATCTTTAAAATGATGCAAATAGAATTAAAAACATGAATCTTAAACTTGCAATGCAAATATAAATTAGAACTTAATTTCATATAAAATATGTAAAAATTATCGGATATACACTAAAAATACTTTTCATATCCTTTAGCCTGAATATTTAAAACTAGAAAATTACAATCCCTTCCATCTGTTTTTCTTCTTCTTCTTCAACATGTCGACCCTACGTTAAGATTGTGAAGAAACAAAATTGATGTATAGTAGAATTATATTAACATTGCATTTGTGTCTATTAGCAGGCAAAAGGTCATTTTACACGTGTTTATAAATAGACTTCTATGATTAGCAAGGGTTAATGTTTTAAATCCTCCCCCCCCCCCCGCCCCCCAAGGAGAGTGATGTTAATTAATTAATTAATTAATTAATTAGTAGTTAACCCTTATATCGAATAAAGATTAATGATAATAATGTTATACTGTTAATGTGTTGATATCTACACGTCACAATAGTTAATGCAATTACACATCCAAATAAAATTAGTTTATGTTTCTTTCAGTCCAGATAACTATACCTTTTTAATACCAAAAAGTAAAGATTCGTTTTCACATGTATATATTTATTTCTATGAATATTGATTTTTCCTATGAGATGTTATGTATATTGACAATGAATACAAATACAGCCATTGTTGAAAAGGCCATAAATGTTTAGATGTGCCAAATGCGAGCCTAATAAAATCGGTGGTTGGATGTCAATTAAGAACCATATATAGACCTAATCCATTTCTCTTCTCCCGTTATATATTCAAACAAAAAAAATATCAAAGCCCTTGTCTCATCTCTAAAACCACTCTAATAGTTAAGCATGGTGGTTAACCAGAAGATATCCGGTCTCGCAGCCGTTATGAACGCCAAGATCATCGGTTCTGGTGAGAGGTCAATGGTCTTGGCACACGGATTTGGAGGCGACCAGTCGGTTTGGGAGAAGATAATTCCGGTCTTGTCCCAGTCTTTTAATGTTTTGGTCTTTGACTGGCTTTTCTCTGGAGCCATCAAAGACCAAACTCTTTATGACCCTTCGAAGTATAACTCATTTGATGCCTTCTCTGACGATCTTATTGCTCTTTTGGAGGAGTTGAAGTTTGGCCCCGTTGTGTTCGTTGGCCATTCCATGTCTGGCATGATCGGTTGTGCTGCTTCTATTAAGAGACCGGACTTGTTTACAAATCTTGTCCTTATTGCTGCTTCTCCCAGGTAAGCTCACTCTTAGTACCACTAAAAAAAATTAACACTTTTCCTTAATTATAATTAGAATTGTAAAACATGTCTAAAAGCAAGGGAATCAAGAAAATCAAAGACATGTGTAAAGTAACGCGTATCCTTAATTATAATTAGAAGTGAAAACATGTTTTAGAAACAAGAAAATCGAGAAAATCAAAGACATGTGTAAACTAGTTTTGTCGATATGATATCATTTGTGTGTGTATATACAAAAAAAGGGGGAAAGATGCGTAGATGAGATAAGAAAGATGATTGACAATTATGAAAGATTACGCTCGAAAGGGAAATATAATCACATGCAATCAAAATTTAAAAAGCTATACGTCTCATCGATTGTACAATATTCCTGATAAATACGTGTTTCATGAAAGAAGACAAAAATAATATGCTTTGCGATAATATATTGTATTAGCTGATAATTAATGGATTTTATGTGGATGGTATATATGCTGTATGCATCTACTGAAGTGTAACTGTTGCCACGTCTTGAACATGTGGTCAGGATCAGACTGTTACATGACATACAAATTCATAGACAGAAACCAATCATATTCAAGACTGTACATATTATACATATCAATATTACATGGACCACTTAGCTTTTAAACGGCCTACTCTCCGGTTTATAGAAAATTATTGAATCGGATCAAATTACTTGAATGGTAGTAAAGTAACAATTTCTTTTCTTTTCTTTTTTTTGTCAGAAAAGATAAAATAAATATTGTAATAAAAACATAACTATACAACAACTATTTGCTTTCCTTCCAATTTAATAAAATATCTGCTTAAGGATGAATTATTAAATTCTTACTGATAAGATGATATACTTATTAAGGTTATAGCCTTGTAGGTGGAAAACTCGACCATAAATTAATGCAGCAGTTGATAATGCAACAGTTGAAAACTCGGCCATAAATTAAAGCGTACTTATAAAACTTTAACTAGATAATCAGATTTTTTTTGTCACAAATTAGATGATCACATATAGTAATATTAATAGTTATTAGATTGAAATGAAATTATTTAGGTGTATTTTAGCCCAAAAAATCTATCTATATATAGGTACATAAACAGTGAGGATTACAAAGGAGGGTTTGAGCCAGAAGACATTGACGCGATCATCTCCAACATTGCCTCCAACTACGGGGCTTGGGCGGTTGCTTTCGCCTCCATAGTGGTCGACTCAAGAGACTCTCTCTCGGTCCAATGGTTCGAGAAGTGTCTTAAGAAGATGAAGCCCGAGACGGCTCTTTCTTTAGCTAAGATAGTGTTTGGTAGCGACGAGAGAGAGATCTTGGGCCAAGTGTCAGTGCCTTGCCATGCCATACAGCCAGGAAATGACGTCGTGGTTCCTGTCTCCGTTGCCTACTTCATGCAAGAGAAGATCAAAGGGAAATCTACGGTAGACATCATCGAGAACTCCATTGGGCATTTCCCACAAATGACGTCACATCTGGAGCTTCTAGGAGTCATGAGACGTCTCCTCGAGTTTTGAAGCTTTAATATAATAAACAGCTTTGCATTCAATACTTTTCATCTATACAATATTATATTGCTAAGATAATGAAGTGGGTCGATAAGAGTATTCATGTATATGTTTGTGTAATGTGGATGTGTGTTTTACTGGCAACACAAATCTATATTATAATAGTTCACTTCTAAGGCTCCTAAAGCTGTCCACGTCAGCAAGTTTGTGGTCCCGTGCATTTAAATTTTAAAAGCTTATATATATTTTTTTTAAATGACTATAAACAATGGATACACTTTAGCAGAGTGGTATGAATCATCTAATTAAGTCTAGAAAAGCATGTGGGTTCAAACCACGCAGATGTTATATATTTTAGTTTTTTTCGTTTGGATTATTATCATCTGGACTTTTTAGTTTTAATGTTTGTATGTTTTTTTACCTCTGGACTTATTGTTTATATCCCAAAATAGTAGAAAAAAATCTTAAAGTTTGACGAACTGAAACCGAAAAACAATTAAAAATGGATCAAAAAATGAACAGCCCAAAAAACAAAAAAAAAACAAAATGAGTCCCACGCGGCGCTATCATGTCCTAATATATATTTTATGTTAGAACATATTTCCTAATATATGTTTTCAAAAAAAAATGTATGTGAAATAAAATAAAACAACAAAATTAAATATTTTTTGTTATTTATAAAATAACTATGTAATTTCTCTTCAATTTTTAATAGTTGCTATAATTTCATTTTTAACAGACTCCGGCGAATGGATTTCCTCAGTCGATGACGCCGTAAATAAAAATTCCACATTATTCATGAACAAAATCCAAACTTAAAAAAAAAAAAATATCCAAACCTATCTATTGAAACCCAAACAACAAATATTAGCTTAAATTAAAGTTATTTTCAAATTGATAAATCGTTTAGTACAAATATAAATACTATAAATAAATAATTATATCAAGTTTTGATCTCCGATATAAAAACTATTTCCAACATAAAAAAAACGATAGACACCTTTTTTATACACTAGAAATTATATTATAATTTAGTTATCCTTATAACCTTACTTCGCATATAAATAACATTTAACACATTATATATAAAATATTTTCACTTTACACTCTTGCTACATTCTTTCCCGCAGATGTTATATATTTTAGTTTTTTTCGTTTGGATTATTATCATCTGAACTTTTTAGTTTTAATGTTTGTAGGTTTTTTTACCTCTGGACTTATTGTTTAAATCCCAAAATAGTAGAAAAAAATCTTAAAGTTTGACGAACTGAAACCGAAAAATAATTAAAAATGGATCAAAAAATGAACAGCCCAAAAAACAAAAAAAAACAAAATGAGTCCCACGCGGCGCTATCATGTCCTAATATATATTTTATGTTAGAACATATTTCCTAATATATGTTTTCAAAAAAAATATGTATGTGAAATAAAATAAAACAACAAAATTAAATATTTTTTATTATTTATAAAATAACTATGTAATTTCTCTTCAATTTTTTAATAGTTAGTATAGTTTCATTTTTAACAGACTCCGGCGAATGGATTTCCTCAGTCGATGACGCCGTAAATAAAAATTCCACATTATTCATGAACAAAATCCAAACTTAAAAAAAAAGAAATATCCAAACCTATCTATTGAAACCCAAACAACAAATATTAGCTTAAATTAAAGTTATTTTCAAATTGATAAATCGTTTAGTTAAATATAAGTACTATAAATAAATAATTATATCAAGTTTTGATCTCCGATATAAAAACTATTTCCAACATAAAAAAAAACAAGATAGACACCTTTTTTATACACTAGAAATTATATTATAATTTAGTTATCCTTATAACCTTATTTCGCATATAAATAACATTTAACACATTATATATAAAATATTTTCACTTTACACTCTTGCTACATTCTTTCCATTTCATCATTATTTGGTATTATTAGAATAACCCACTAAACCAACAACCGCAAAAAACACAAACAAACATCAATGATCCCGGCCCCGCGCTTGCGCGAGGATATGCAACTAGTTAATTACAATGTAACAGCAATTGGCAGCACAAGAAGGAAGTAAATTAGTTTCCGGAGAATTATAATTCTACCACAAATTTGATACTAATGTTAAATTTACCTTTAAATGATGATCATTTTCATAATTACATAAGATTTAGGATGAAAATTACTAACTAACACTCTTAAATCATTTATAAATATTTAATGGTCATTTATAAAAAATTATAAACCCAAATCCACCCTTCTAATAATAAATCTTTATTAATAAAGTAGACTTTTTTTTCATAGGGATACAAACAATGACACTTGTCATTCTATAATTTGTTGAATAATTTTTAAACCCAGTTATAAATATATTTTATTTTATTTGGATTTTAATAGATTTTTACATTAGACCCAATTATAACAATCTTCTATTTCATACCATATCTAATTTTAATACTATTTAAAATATTTTTATATATATTTTATACTATTTTATATTTATAATATTTAATTTACATTAAAATATTATTTTTATGAAAATATACAAAGTTAATAAAAGGCGCGATTTTAGCCATATTATTTTTAATTTTAATTGTAGAGTACTATGTTTATTGTGATATTGTTGAAACTATGAAATAAATATAGTGTTGATTTCATTTCATTGTTGTCTAACTCTTTGTTAATTATAATTATTTTAAGAAATGAGGTAATAATTATAAAATATAAAATTATTTAAAGTTAGAGTTATTTAGTATTTCAGTGATACTGATTTGTAAATAAATTGTAAGATTTATGAGTATTTTTTATTTGTATATAAGATAAATGCATAACGTTCAAAGGAAACAGTTTCATCCTAAATGAATCTCCTATAACATTACACCAAAAATTATTAAACATAACAACAGATGTGACAAAAAAACACATTAACAGACAAAAAAATGATCCGCAACAAAAAAAAATAGTTACATGAAAATCAAAGTATAGAAACATATATAGTAAACCAACAACATAACTACATCGTAAACTACATTCATATGAAATATAACATCCAATTTCAAAAGGACAGTAAGGAGAAAATGGCCATTAAAATCACCAACTTTCATATTAAAGCCAAAAAAATCTCCAACTCATGTTTGAGCTAAAAAACCATTAACTTTTAAATATTGGCCGTTTTAACTTGACCATTAAAGAAACTCATTTAATCATCTGTTAAACTCGATTAAAAAATACACGTTTGTTAATTCTTTAAACGATGTTTTAAAACTTGATTAAACGTTAATCAAACAACATATTTTTGCTTTTGTAAACACTTAAAGCATCTTATTTGTAAAACCATAACCTTAAATTGACTTCATCTTCCTCATCTCGATTCAGGAAGATGAAGTCGATTTTGGACTCTAGTTTCACGAAAGATATGGTTTAAGTGTTTAAAGAAGTAAAATAAGATATGGTTTAAGAAGCATGTTGTTTGACTAATTTTTAAAACGACCTCGTTTACAGAGTTAACATACATCTATTTTTATAATCTCGTTTAAGAGTTGACTATTTGGGTTTCTTAAATGGCCTAGCCAACAAAATATGAGAGTTAAAACGACAAATATTTAAAAGTTGAAGATTTTTTTGGCTTAAACATGAGTTGAAGGTTTTTTTGCTTTAATTTGAAAGTTGAGGGTTTTAATGGCTGTTTTCTCGGACAATAAGCCAAACTTAGCCCAAATAAATAAAGTTGTTTTCATGTCCTGTCACTCCTTCGTCAGTCATCTCAAATCGCCTACAATCAAAGTTTCAAAATTCACATGCAATTTGCTCCAAACAAAAGATAATGTAAATGATATAAATGCTTATCCTTCTTTGGCATATGATATTCGTCTTCTTCACTACACTCTCAGATATCACGAAAACCTATTATTTTGTTTTTGGCATTTCCAACAACGAAAACCAGACAACTGTACAATTATAGAAGTAACATCTATTGACCTAAAATTAAACTATAATTAGCAAACTATAACAAATTTATAATTCAAAAATCAGCAGTAAAAAAACTGAAACTAAACGTTGGAAATTTAGAAATAGAAACCTCTCACTTCTACTAACATACTTTTGAAGATATATAGTACTTTAATGCATAATGTAATCTCCCCTATAACAAATGACTAATTTACTATTTAGTAAAAACAACTATATATCCTAATGAACAACAAAAATAAATAATGTCCAATAACTACAAAATACAATAACTTAATCTATGTTTGCTAGAAATCCGTATTGACCATCTAATTTTAACATCCCCAACAACATCATACAAATCAGGTAAAAGAACATACACACACAATGTAAAAGTTTATCAATAGATACTGATAATTTCAGGATTACAAATAATTTTGAACTCATTAAATAATAAAACATACAAAGCATTGGAATACCACTAGTTATAAATAATATTCACTAAATCTTAAATCCAACGGTTATGATATTTTTAATTATTTGAAAGGTGGAAGTCAACTTCTGATATTACAAACAATTTCTCCTTAGTTTTTATTATTAGTTCAATAAAGAGATGGATCAGGATGAAATTGAAGTGGTAAACTAACTTGCTGCATCAATTCGTCGAGTTAAACTCAATCGGTTCTTTTTAGAGTAGCCACTTTACTTAAACCGTATAATTAATCTCGGTACAATCTTTGTAGAGCATAAATCTATGTCTATAAACCATAAGTTTTTCTGCGCTGACTATCCTTCCAAAGTCAAACACAAAACTAATTTCTTCTTTTGACTCATCTTATTTTTGTCCTATTCACCCCACATCTTCATTTTATTTACGAAAATACCATTAATTTTTTTTTTTGTAATTTTTTTTTCGAAAATGACCTTTTTACTCTCTCAACCTCATCATCTTCAAGTATTTACAACATTGCCATTGCCATGAATACTCCCAACAACCTTGTACAACCCACCAACCTTGTACAACCAAGGTTTGAAGCTTTTAATGCACTTAAAATCGATACTCATACTCTCTTTCTCAATTGTTATGAACTAAAAACAACATCTCCTTCACTTTGTCTCCATATTCATACCAAAAACCCAAGCTTTTGATAGCAAAATTTTTATGCTTGATAGAGTCATTTAAGCATACAATTCTTGGTGGGTTACTTTCGTTTGATGTTTTGGGTGGTTGGAGAAGACTCTGTGTGCAAAGAAAGTCATCTCACCTAGTTTAAGGTATGAAATTGAATTTTTTTTTCCAAATCTGTTCGAGTAGAAGAC